TTTTCTGTAAAATTTTAAATTCTGTAGAATTTAAAATGGCTCTTTTGGGTTAAGTTGGTTCCTTCTTGGAGACTTACCCTTGGTGTCTCTTGGAAGGCACACTCAGTCTGCTCATGATTGCCTTCCTCCGTCTTCCCAGCCGGCCACATTTCATTTCCAAGGCTTTCTTCTGTAGTCACATTTTTTTTTCCTCTGGCTGCTTATTCTGCTCTTACAGAGCATATGGGTACCTGGATAATCTCCATATTTTAAGGTCAGCTGACTGGAAGCCTTAATTCCATATGCAACCTTCTTATTTGTCAATCAAATAGTCAACAGATTTGGGAATTTTGACATACTGTCTTTAAGGAGTCATGTATTCTGTCTACTAAAACTTGGAGTGATGGGGCATAGAAGATTATCTAATTAACAGTTATTCCAGCTGATTCTAATGAAAACAGTCAGGCCAGGCCATCGAGAAAGCCTCCTCTAGAGATTTACACAGAGCAGCTACATGTATTCACTTCTGAATCCAAGCAAAAAGGCTTTGGGTTAAACCACATTTGATGCAAGGAGACAATTGAAGTCAGACTTTGGTAAGATGATAGAAAGAGCTGCTTACTCAGAAGTGTTGGCACTGGCAGAATTCATCATTTTTGTAGGGGCTTCATTTTAGTTTGTTTCACGTGATAGTCTGAAAATCAAATTTAAGAAACATTTGGAAGCCTAAATGCAGACTATCAAGAAAGACAATTAGAATATAATTTATGAAATTAGAGTCAGAGAAATGGCTTGTAAGATCATTTATCATGAAACTCTGTGAAAGCCTAAGGACTTGGAATTCAATCATCAGAACCCGTCATAAACAAAGAGAACTGACTGGAAGTTGTCTTCTCACCTCTACACATGCCACAGCATGCATGTGCACATATGTGTACACATACCCTCCATTCATATGCATATACACTAACGATAAATTATTTTATATTTTAGGTTATAATTTATTGAATTAAATACTTACTTGGTTTTAATACTAAGTTTGATTAAGTGTTCTTTATTATTTTCTTGGGTACATTAACATTTGTATTTGTATTATTCATATTTATTTATTTATGGAACATTCACGTTACATATGGGAATATGCCTTTTATCTACCCAAACCAGCAGCTATGCTATAATTATGTTAGGAATCATGTTTAATTTATTATATATTTATGAAAAGATTAAATGTGCTAGGATTTATATTACTTGATAAAGATGACTTCAACTATTTAATTGTATAATTTATTCTTGCTTAATGTATTTTAAAATATCACTTGCTTTCTAAAAATATACATTTATCAATTGTGTGAGCATATCATACAACATGTGTGAAAGTCAGGAGACAATACTGGGGGAGTTGGTTTTTTGTATGGTTGGGCTCAAACTCAGATTGCCAGGTTTGTCATCAGGTATCTTTATTGGTTGAGCCATCTCACCAGCTCCATCTGTCAGCTGCCTGTTCATAGCTTTGGTGTTGATTTATTGCTCACAGCCTATATTATATTAAAGCTCAATAAATATTTATTTTAAAAAGTGATGATAAAATTTAGTAACAGGTGGATGTTGTATTAGCCAGGGTTCTCTAGAGGAATACAGCTGTTGTGTAATAATCTTTTTGTATACTATGAAGACGTGTTACTAGGACTGGTTTATTAAAAAGCTGACTAGCTAATAGCTAGGCAGGATTTCCAGGCCCAGAGGACACTGGGAAGATGACAGAAAGAGATATGGTGGAAAGCAAGATGGACAGTATGTAGATGAGTTAAATGAGCCTTGGGGCAGCACATAGATTAATAGAAATGGGTTCATTTAAGTTATAAGGGCTAGCTAAAAGCAAGTCTAAGTTATCAGTTGAGCTTTCATGATTAATGATAACTCTCCGTGTTGTGATTTGGAAGCTGGCTGGTGAGACAGAGAGACTCACAACATACAACCTAGAGAGCGGATAGGTATTACCAGGAAGGTTTTTAGATTGGTTTACAGGATATGGGTTGGGTTTTACAAAATGACTGCACTGGAAAGCTGAGAATCTGTGAGCTGTCAAACCCTGGGGTCAGATTCCCCAGCACACCCAACCAGCATGGAAGCCCTAGAGGATTGTGAATTGCCCCCTCCCGAAAAGCTGGTTCTGATGTCGGGAGAGGGCAGCAACAGCTGTAGTATGTAGTATGTAGATGTGCTCATGAGCAAGAAGTGAGGACCAATAGGGGAAATCCACAGTATTTATTTCCCTCAGACTTCTTTATATCTGGGCCACAACATGGATATGCTACCCATGATATGGGGGAGATCCTGCTCCTGTAATTAACCTTCCCAGATTTGTGCTTTTTAATTACGATCCCAGATCAAATCAGTTGACAAATAATACCAATAGTCACAGATGTTTCTGAAGAACCAGTTTCATAAGTTTAGTTCTAAAAAGAAGAGGTTAACCATATTTTTATTAACTTTCTAAAGTACTTTTAAAAGCTGAAGCATGGAAAAATATATTTGCAGTATTATTTTTAGAAGATTGGCTAAGAAAAACAAGTTAGGCACTCATGAAATCTTAATGAACAAAATAATTAAGACAATATTTTTGTCTGGCCCATCTTATCTAAAATATTAATTCAACTTAATTCTCATTACAATTCAGAAGTAAAGAATAATTATCTTTCATTTCTGAGAGAGGAACTGTGCTATGTGGTGTGATTTCTCTCCTAGCTATTAAGTAGAGCTAATTAGCTATTCAGACTTGAGTCTCTGACTCCAAGGTACATGCTCTTTATTGCATAAGCAGGTTTTAATATATTTTATTCTTTATAGTACTTGCTTCTAGTGGAGGTGGGGTGAGGAGACAAAGTTTTACTTTATTTATAACTCACTTATCCTCAATAATAGAAGGCAGGCATAGACAAGCCAAGCTTGTCAGTATTTACCCTGGAGTTAGGTGGTGATATGCTTTATGGCTGACTCTATTATATGTTCAACCAAAGAGCCATTCTATGGAATTTAGTAATTGGTTGAGAGTTCTTACTTGAGTGTATTTGAGTACATTTGGGCCATTTGTAAAGTATGAACATTTATTTTTTACATCTTGGAAGTTACGATGCCAGAAACTAAGGTGCTGTCAACTGGCAAGGACCCTCTTGCTGTGTCCTTGCAACGGAGAAAGGGGAACAGTAGAAAGAGACTAACTCTCTCCAACAAGCCCTTTGTTATGGTGTCAAACTTTTCAATGGGTATAGATCTCATGATCAAAACACCTCCCTGAATGCATTGCTTTCTGAAACAGCTGGATTGAAGGTTAGGTTCCCCATGTCAATTTAGAGACCCCATTCAGACCACATCATTGCATAACTTCACAGAGTTCAGTATTTTCCATGGCAATAAACAAATGTGTCCCTAATAAGAATGATGTTCCTTCCATGAGTCAGGACCCTCTGTACTGTTGTAAGAAGACACCGATCAATTAAGATATAATTCCATTTCCAACTAAACACACAGAAAAACACAAGCAAAACAGGTAGCTATGTTTGCTACATCTTGCTAAAGTTATAACTAAGAAAGTTTTAAGTTGGCATTAAGTTATACAAATCAAATAATCCTGTTTTGGACCTGAAATTAAGTCAGTAGTATTAGAAGGAGTTTTTCCTGGTTGTTTTAGAGTTATCTAGGAAGAGGAATCTCAATTGAGAAAAATGTCTTCATCATTTTGCCTGCAGGCAAGTCCATAGGGCATTTTTTTTTTTTGATTAACAATTGATGTGTGAGAGCCCAGGTCACTGTGGACAGAGGCACTCCTGTATTATATAAGAAAAGAGGATGACCAGGCCATGATGAACAGACATGAGGAGCAAGCCAGTAAGTGTATTCCTGAATGGTCTCTGCTTTAGTTCCTGTTGAGTCCCTGCCCTGACTCTCCTTAATGATGGCATGTAACCTGAGAGTTGAACAATAGAATAAACCCTGTCCTTTCCAAATTGCTTTAGGTCATGGTGCTTTAGCACATCAATAGAAACTCTAATGAGGACAAAAGTATTTATTTGAGGCTTAAAGTTCCTGTGGGTTAGGGTCTCTAATGGCAAAGACACCTTGGCAGCATCAGCAGACATGGCAGCTGGAGCTGGAAGCTCAGAGTCAGGACTCGTGAATACCAAACAGAAAGCAGAGGTGGCAACAGAAGCATGGAGCTTTTGAAAACCTCCAAGCCCACCCTCAGTGACATACTTTCTTCAGCAAGGCCATACCTCCTAATCCTACCCAAACAGTGCCACAAGCTGGAGACCAAGTACTCAGATGCTTGAGAGTATGGAGGGCATCTCATTCAAACCACCACAGAGTTTAAAGCAAAAAACTTAAAAATTTAAATATAACTAGGAATACATAACCAAATGACTCTGTTTATCAATACCAGGTGATACTTTCCCACAGTGTTTTCTAGAAACATGATGCAGGTGGCACTGGTCATATTATGATGATTGTGTTGGGATCTCATGAGGTCTATGGATACAGCTTTGGCTGGCAGTGGACCACTTAAAGACTAAATTACTTTTGAAAAAAATTCAATCCCTGAGATTATATTAAAAAGAGAGCCTCAAGTTGTGAAAAGAGTTCTATAAATTTTCTTATCATGTTTAAGAAAGTAGGTACATATTGGCTATAATGCAACATAGGTTGAATACCCATTATATAAAATGCTTAGGACCATAATTGTTTTAGAGTTGGAATTTCTTTTTTGTTACATGGAGGAATGGGCATCTCTGGAACAGACAAATCACAGCTGAAGAAGATGGAGAGGGCTTACTGAGAAGGTCTTTTCTACACTGAGGATCCTGAATAAAATATGTGGTGCTAGTGTTTTGACTGGGACCCATAACATGAGATTAGGTGTAAGATTTTCCACTTGCAGCATCATGACAGTTCTCAAAAAGTTTGAATCTTGGAGCATTTCAAACTTCAGACCTTTGGATAGGAATATTCAAACTGTATCATATTTTATTATTTTTTTTCTAAATTACAGAAACATTGTAGTAGCTTGTACAACTCTCATTTCAGACAACATATTTTTCATTAGAAAAAAGGAAGGCAGGGAATCACAGTCTTGTTAACAGCTATAGTATCATATATTAGACTTTAGATTTACAAGGATATATCACAGGTTTTCCAGTACACTCAGGTTCCTTGTTCATTAACTGATAGCCAGCATCAAAACTGTATTATGTCAGTATTTTTATTACTTTCTATTTGTGACAATAACTTTACTTTTCTATTTGGGATATTAAAAATACATATTTTCTTTATGTAAGTTTATTATACAAAACCATGTAAGTTTAGAGGGTAAATTACACTGGCAGTGTGAAGATGAGCCCTAAAATGAAGACAGACAAAAACTGCTGAAGAATGACCAACACTGGCAGAGAACAAATAGAAGAAAGCCCATCTAGGTGTTCGTAGGAGATTCTACAACAAACCTGTCAGGTAAATTTTCTTACATTATTTAACACTTCTGGGTCTCAGCTTCATCTTCCAATTGAACACTTTCTAACTAATTCTCTTTTAGCAACGAAATATGGGGTGTAATTATAGGTAATGCTAAGGATGAGATTAAGAAAAATTTGTTGGCTAAAAATAGATTTTCATGCCTATTAGGATTTTTTCCTGGAGTCTCTCCATGGGCAGAGAAGGAAGGTCAAGTTCATTAACAACACTTTCCATCTCCTTGTCTGTTCCTCTTCCATTTCTTTGTGCTTTCTTACAAGTGACTAATTTCTACTTGATGCTCTATATTGCAAAAGACGCCCATGGACACAACAGCCAGACCAAACTGACCTTCCTAGAGTGGGTCTAACATCTGTCCTTTTTACTCTTGTTTCTAATCACAATTTGCCTATATATTGCTACCACCAGACTTTGCCTTGACAGCTGCTACTGTGGAACACTATTTGGAATGACATCATCAATGAAAGGTTCTGGTATATAACAGCCTTAGGAAGCACTCGCTACTGGACAAGTGAATGTGATTTAGTTGTGCAGACCAAGACAAGGCTCTATAATAGCAGAATATTGCATCAGATTGTCTGAGAAACTTAAGGGGCTCCTTGCAAGTCAAGGAGAAAACTGATAAAATTAAAAATCCTGTCCTCTAAGCAATAGAAAGATCATAGTACATCATATACCCTGTCTTGTTTTAGACAATACCATCTTTTAAATGAAGGCAGGAAATATTTTTTTGTTAATTGCTGTAGTGCCATGATTTTATAGTTTAGATTCATATGAATGTATCTTTGAGTTTTCTAGACAGCTCAAGCTCCTTAGATACTCACCAGAGGCTCCATTGAAGTTTATACTTAAGGTTACATATGCTGGTATTTATTAGAAAGTGAATATGAAATTGTCAGTTCTCTTCTTGCCTTAATTTCAGTCTAGACTTCATAGTGCTAGTGCTACTTTTACTCCCACACTAATACATTTTAAAATAAAGCAATCATATCTGTTCCAGTCTTAATGCCAACAGAGTCCCATCACAGATGTACATGAGCATTCAGATATGCATGGACTTATACTTGTCAGAAATACTTGCTGCTTATGGCATTAAGTCAAACCATACCTCTGCAGGCATCACTAGACAGTCTCACAAATAGTTCCTCATTCTTGTTTCTTTCCTTCTGTTCATCAAGGGTTCATTTTTGTGTTGAGTAGTTGCATGAATGCCATGTCTTGGCCCAAGATCAATGTCACTTTCCTAAAGTACACTTCTGCCTGGCTGACTGTGTATATGTGAAGTTATTTCTACTCCATGAGGCAGTTGTTATTTTTTCTTGTTGGCTGGATTCCCAGTGGATCCTGATACTGAAAATCAGGTTGGGTTAGTATGGACCACATGTGTCAAGTTCAGGATCAATGATTTAAATCAATCTCACCCACTTTCAAACACCTCCAGTCAGCACTGCTTACAAAATAAGGCATAAAGATTATGAAAACAGAGCTTTAAATGCCTACAATAACAAAATATATGGCTAATTTTCAATTTTTCTTTAAATGCCTCTTTGCTCAGAGCAATTTACAGATTTCTCGAACCATTTAATTACCTAAATCTAGGAGGAAAGTTAAAATAGAAAGCCAATGGTATAACTGTACTGCATCTATCTTATCCTATACACTGAAAAAACAAAGTTACTTTCATTGCTGGAAGGAATTGAATAATAACCATGTACCACTTACTTCATATTTAGAGCTCCAGGCTTGACTTAGTGTGAGCAGCGAGCTAAATATGGACAAGTATACTTGGGGACAAATGATACAGCAATTCAAAACTTCACATCCTGTATACTGTCCTTCTGTATGAGGTTGGGTGGGTTACTTCATACCCTGAAGGCTCACTTCTCATATCAGTAAAATGCGAAAATGTCCTTTCGTAGTGGCATTCTGTGAAGACAGAAGATCACCTTAAATACCTGGTAATGCCAGAGTTTTTGAAAAAGTTCAGTTAAAAAATTTGAAGTAAGAATAATCTAGAGTTTGACCTGGATCATTTCTAGACACATTATCATATGCTGTTGATAGTGTACTTGTCATTGTTGATATCAAAGTCAGTTTCTTGTCTTAGCTCTGTAACTGAATGCTTTTTTTTTTCTGACACTATAATACTGTCAGAGACACAACACCTCATTTCTAATTATATGATATGAAACTGAATACTTAGCAATGGGTTAATAAACAATGGGTTATTCACAAATTTGTAAAATGAATCAAATGCATAGACAAACCTTTGGTACCCATGTTGGCATTGGTGTATGATTTTTTTCAACTTTTTTTATTTGAATTAGAAACAGGATTGATTTACATGACAATCCCAGTTCCCTTCTCCCATCCGTCCTCCCCTACCCCCCCCAACTAAACCCCTATCTATCACATATCCTTTCTGCTCCCCCTGGACGATGAGGCCTTCCATAGGGTGTCATCAGTGTCTAGTGTATCCTTTGGGATAGGGCATAGGTGTATGATTCATTCTAACATTCTTAATGTAATTTCATTTCTGTGCAAACAAATAGGTGACTTCTAATGATGTGTTGGGTATATAATTGTTGAACTGTGGTACTATATATAGGTAAAAAATAGACTTTTTTCTTATGACTTAGAATCCTTAATATTTTCTAATAATCAATGGAGTATTGATATGGTCTGATGTGTCTTAATATTTTCTAATAATCCATGGGGTATTGATATGGTCTGATGAGTACTGATAGCAAAATGTGTCAATCACAGTCCTAAGAGTTTATGATACAGACAAAGAAAATTGCAACACTGATACTCTGCATTGTGTCCTAGTTCAGGGAAATTTATAAAAGTCAGAGGCTCTCATGATGGTTCTACCTAAGAAAGTCTTCCCCACACCCCTTTCTACGCTGGTCAGTGGTCAGACTTGGAGGAGGATCTGAAAGGGTGTAACTGTGAGATAAAATGTCTTGGTTGTACCTGTTTGTGGCTTAGCTTTGTATTTAAATAGCAAACAAAAAAGGAAATAAACTTGAAAATTATTTGTCATCATAAAAATAAAGCAAAAAATTAAAATAAAAAAGTCAGGAGTTCTGCTTTATTAATTGCTGTATTTAATATCTAATAAATACTTGATGACTAAGTGGGATTAAATTTATTATGGTATTAAAAGCAGTTATTTTATGTCTCTGTTTTCTTTGTTAAACTTATACCAACACAATGCAAATTTAATATCATCACTCAGAGAATCATTAATCAAACATACCCTCATGATGGATACATAAGAATTTTCCTAAGATTTGCCTTTTATAACCAGAAAAAAGTATAACAGCATCAATATTCTTCAAAAATAAGATAAAATAGAAACAATTTTGGAGTATTTAATTTAAATTTGACATAAGTTATATTTCTCTTGCTCCCACCTCATCCAATTAGTATATTTATTGTATATGTATGTATAAAGAATATATGCATATCCTATGTTACAGTTACTTTTGTATACTTTACAATTTCTCTATAATTATGATGCATCTAATCTTTAGAATTTGAAATATAAAAATCTTAAGGGAATAGTATGGTACACTCAAAACCTATTCTTAGAAATTAGATTACATCAGGAACAATTTAATTTATTCATGATAATAAAGCCTTCTTGTATGCTGGCAATACACACACACACACACACACACACACACACACACACACACACACACACACACACACACACCAAAAATAAAACCACTTACATACAAGCACATACTTCCTTTAGTTGCCTGAGAGAACAGTAATGCAGTTCTTTTTCAACATTCATTCTTTTTAAAATTAATTTTAAATTAAAAACAATTTTATTTTACACACAAATCCAGTTTTCTCTCTCTACTTTCCTCCCACACCCCATACACACCTCAGAGAGGGTGAGGCCTCTTGTTAAGAACAACAACCAGGCATGTTGGAACAATCTAAATAAGATGAGCAGCTGTTGAGTAAGGTCTGTAAGCCTATAACCATTCTGCCTCTATCCTTTGACTACTCTGAAGGTCATGTGCAGTGCTGGATGGTTGGAGTATCTTCTTTGACTACTTGCCTCAGCATCTGGGTCTCTGCTCTGGGGTCTTCTCTGGATACTTAGAGGAATGTTGGTTCTGTATATGGTCAAGGTAAGAGTAACCTCTAGTCAATCTTCCATCCTATTCTCTGGAGCAGCCCTCAACATGGAGGGTAGGGATATCTATATCCTTCCCTGACTTTTCATTGCAACATGACCTTCACAGGCACTTTCTACATGGTTTTCCAGAGAGTACTCAGTAGGACCAAGCCTCAGTTTCCCAGCAGAAATCTTCTCATCATTAAGTACCTCTTTTGGCTCTCTTCACTAACTCATTTCCTCACTTCTAGCTTGCCAAATAGATACTTGTATCTAAACACCCATGTCATAGTGGTCTTTCTGAAAATGGAGTATAATCTAAGGGTATATGCTAGATATTAGGTAGTTTCTGAAAGCCCAGGGTTGTGTAAATGTAAATGAAGTGCTTTTTCTAGGCTGTTACTAGATTTGAATCTAGCACGTGTGAGAGGAATATGCAACAGAACAATGTACATTGGATTCATTTCTACTAGAGACATGATGAAAAAGCTATGGCAAGTAGTCACCAATTATTCTTTTGGAGATCTGCAAAACCTTCAAGGAGAAGATGGTGTCACATCAGTTATTTGAAAGATACCAAGGATTATTGACAGTGGAGATAAAAATAATGAAATGTTGTTTGAAGTCAATGATAAATCAATGACAAGATAATAGATGTGTGGAGGAATGTGGGTTATTCAAAGAAAAGAATACTGTACCTGAGCTCAAAATTGTCTGAAGCAAGAGGGCAGAAAGCAAAGCAGATCTGAGTTAGTCAGTGACAGTCTGGGCATTTGCGGAAACCCTGGACTGAGTGGGGGAAGAATGCTTCAGAAGTGTACATACTGAACTATTTTTTTCTCATGTGACTTCTAAAAAAAAATAGAATCTCACCCACGCATCATCAGTCACTTCCTTTGCCATCATTATTTTGAAAGTATGACTCACTGATAGAACATTTTCCCTGAAACTCAAGACATTTTAGAATCTGTGTGTATTTTATTATGCTCTCTGAATAGGACAAGATTGCCTGGGGTTTCAACATTTCTTTCTGTCTTATAATGTCTGTCTTACTATAATTCATTTATTTGGAACTTCCACTTTAAGGTATGGTACATGCTCCCTGTGTCCTGAAGGGGACTGTGACTGCTTCTCTCCCATACAAAGAAACTTAGGAACAAGAATAAAAGCATGAAGTCCAAAAGCAAGGCTCAAGTAGAAACAGAGACTAGGCAAGCATTGCTCTGGGGACCAGCAATTCAAGCCTCTTGCTCTGGACCTCCTGCACATGGTTTGTTGGTCCTTGGTGAGTGGTTGAAGTTTTCACCATTTTGTTTTTCAATGAGGTGCTGTGTTTGACCATCTCCCAGATCTCTACTTGTCACAGTACTCATGGTAAGTTAAGATCAGGGATAAAACTGCATCTTTCTTGTCCCTAACACTTAAAATTAATAAAATGATTATTTGAAAATTGATGATATTCCTTTTAAAAAATATAATGCAAATGTTACTGCCACTAGTTCCTTTAAAATATCCATTTTTGATTTCATGTAAGTTCTATTAATTAAAAGTACATAATCATGATCATATGAAATAATTTTCTAAAACACATTTGCTGGCACTGGGCCTTCGGATATGTTTTACTGGCTGCTGGAAAGATGGCAACATTTCGTTAAGATATGATTCATAACCACAGGACTAGATATTCTGAATGTACTCTCCATTGAAATGCAGACATTAGAGATGACAGATAATAGCCTATTTTGAGGGTTAGCATTCCTTAAGGCATTGTTATAGCTTAAAACAAGAGGATCAAAGAACTGCCTGCTTTTTTAGCCACGTGCCATATACTCTAAACAAACAACAGCTGAAGAAGCAACTGGGATGGCTTCATTTCTGCATTATTTAATCTAATGCATTCTGATTTAGTGTCGTGGCTTTTGTTTTATATTAGAAAATAAGTTAGATTGCTCAATGAGTGATTTATCTTTCCCCCACATGATCAGGATAGGGGCTTTTGTTTGTTTGGTTTAGGCATAGGAGACTAGTAGAATACAGGTGATATGAGGGAGGAAGAGGGATAATGATAGAAGGATGTTGTCTTACAGAGAAATAAATATGGAAGTGGTAACTTGAGCATAGTGAAGTCAGAGGCTGCATGAGCTGAGAAAGTCTGCCCAAGGGTGGCTCATGATTGAAAACCCTGAGTGCAGCAGCTCCCTCACAATAGCTTTCTTTTATTAGAAAATCCAAAGTGGAGTATCATCTAGGGAGCTGAAAGGAAATGTTTGTGTGATCAGTAGCTAGTTTTTAAAAATCTTATTAGATGTTAGAAATCTTCAGCCTGCTCATTTACTTTCTTGAAAACAAACAGTTCTGGGAAATACACCTTGGACCTAATAGTACAATGTCAAAGGAACTGTTTTTTCTTTTTTCTTTTCTAAAACATTTATAAATAGGTGCAAGGTACATGTTAGGACACTGTATTAGATACACCAACATAGAAATCTAAGGGTTGATTTTGCTGAGACGTGGTAAGAATCCTTCTAAACAGGAGCAATGGAGATAGTGGGCACTCATAGGATCTTGCTGAAGGCTGGCTGCCCTAATATACACTTCATTTAAATAATTAATATAATCTTCACAAATTTAAATAGTAGTTTTATTTTAAAGTGGATAAAATTGAAGTTCATTAAATTTATTGTGGACACACTTTTAATAGCTGTTAATATCAACAATCTCATTGTTTCAAAAGCTGTGCTTTCTAAAATGTCACTGTTTTCTTCTGATCATAAATGTCTGGTGTAATCTAAGACACATGATACACTTTTTTTTCCAAGAATCAAATCACCATCATTTGATTTCAAGATAAGTATAGCAAAGGCCCCACAATGAAAGCCCATCATTGTTTAACTTGGATTTGAGAATCATAGGGCACACCTGGCAGTTTAGTTTGATTGGGGGTTTGATGCATTTTGGGTGGGATGAAGACTGAGCTGTTACAGGACAATAGTCAGCCACCAGGAATCTCCAGGAACCTGTTGTTTTATGGCAGCACTGAAATAGGATGAGGCAAAGGAGCCCTGTGTCATACTTGGAAAATTTAGGGGTATGCCTAACTCAGTAATAAAATACTGTTTTAGGGTCACCTTAAAAACTCAACAAATTACAGACCAACCACCTATTTTTATAAATACAAAAGGACTCAGAGCTCCAAACTTCTTCATTCTATGAGATATCTTTGTCTCTTGTCTGTCAGTAGTCTAAGGAAAAAGGATGCACCCTGAATAAAATCAGAATGAAGAGTTACCCCTACTAGGTCCAGGTGCCATGTTTAGGGAGGATGGTGATAATATTGTTTGTAGTTTCACCCTCCCAAGAATCTCCAATTTGACTATAGAAATGTAGATGGAAGTTTCTGTCCCACTGGTCCTGTACCTGTTCAGTCCCAAATAAACACACAGAGGTTTATATTAAACACTCAGAGCCTTTTGCTCAGGCTTATTACTACCAAACTCTTACAACTTAAATTAACCCATATTATTATCTAAGTTTAGCCAGGTGGCTTGGTACCTATTCTCAGTGAGGCATTCTCATCTTTCTTTCCCTGAGTATGGCAACTGTATCTACCTTTCTTCTTCCCAGAGTTCTCCTACTATTTTCCTACAAGTAGCCGGGTCTAAACCAAGAAGGCTTTCACAGCGTAAGAGATCCAGGGGAAATAGCCAGGTGGCTTGGTACCTATTCTCAGTGAGGCATTCTCATCTTTCTTTCCCTGAGTATGGCAACTGTATCTACCTTTCTTCTTCCCAGAGTTCTCCTACTCTGGTAGCCCTGCCTGTATTTCCAGCCTGGATACTGGGCAATCAGCATTTTACTAAAGCAATACAAGTGACAAATCTTTACTGTGAATAAGAACATTATCCCACATCAATAGAAACATCACTTACTATGGCCAAATACCCTGGTTTGCTCCCACTGTTGGGGTTTAATATTGAAAGGATTGGATTCTTGAGGACTATTTTCTCCAATATGCTGTCAATCATTCTAACAAAGGGGTAATACTAGGTGGGGGGAGAGGGAGAGAGAGTAAGGGTGAAAGAAACTGACTGAGATATAGAAGAGTTTACACTAAATTTGGTTATTACAATTAGGGTCATGCTAAACTGTGTGAGGTCATGGGCCATGCAATTTTCTTTTCTCTTCAGGTTACGCCAGCCTGGGAATGTGGTATGGGGGTATCAGTCTCATTGATGTCATCTGAGTTTTTCTTCTATTTGGTTGTGCTGAATAATCTAACCCAAGGCCAGATACTTGCTAGAAAGTGCTCTGCCACTGAGTTCTGCCATCCCACTTTTCAATGATTTTCACTTCCAGATGCCGTGGGCCCATTAACTCAGTTCCTAATCTGTTTTACTTATCACTGAAGTCCGTAGGAGGCAATGAAGCTGAAATATTGAGCAAGCCCTTGTGGGCTCCAGTATTGCACATAGACATCAGTGACTATTAGTGTGACTGAAGGTTTGGAATTTTCAAAGCAGACAGACAAGCTATTGCTGATGCTTCCTGCAGGGGTGGCTTTATCCTGTTATCCTCAGTGAACTAAGAATTGCTTTTCCAGTCTATTTTCAGTGAGTTCCATGTAGCTATTATTCCATTTATTTAGACACAAATGAAATCTAGTGAACTTCTACTGCCAAACTGAGGCAGAATTACTATTAAGTTAGAGAAAATGAATGATGTTCTAGGGCTCTCGAATAGATTTGTACTAAGTTTTAATAAGTTTTCTTAATGACTACAATACTATAGGCTAAGATGTGCTCCATGCTCATTCATATATGAAACTCAATAGGTTTCCCATGTATTTGGAGATAGGGATTAGTAGGCCTCTAATCCCAAAGTACCAGTGACCTCTTAAGAAGAGGAAAAGATCACTCTCACATCCTCTCCTCTGTTCTTCCATCTTCTCTCCTCTCTCTACCATGCAAGGACTCAGTGAAACACCAGGTTGTCTTTAAGGCAGGAAGAAAGCCCATTGTAGAAACTCATCATGGTGACATTTCAGTTTTGAGCTTCCAGCCTCCACGATTTTGAGAAAAGCATTTTCTATTGTTGAAGTCATCCAGTCTGCATCATTTATTACAGCAGTCAAAGCAGGATACCATGGTTCATTTTGTCCACCGACTTGTATCTGAATATCAGGCCTGCACATTGGAATCAACACCGCTGTCTTCCCAGTCCCATATTACAGTAATTTATGATTCAGAGCAGCGACACCAACTCAAAGACAGAAGCACTTTCTGGAGAGAGACTGATAATTTGACTTCTAAGAAGCTATGCAAACATCAGGAGTGATAAGAGAACAGGATAAAATACAGAGTGATAAAAAAAGTTTCTGCTTGAGGAATTCAAGTGGCTATATTTTTTTGAGCACAATAATGGGATCAGGTTTGGAATGTCACTGAGAGGTGTGCGGGTGAGGGAGGAGCATAATGACTACAGGATAGTAGGTAGAAGTGAGAACTCCAGATTTAAAACCTGGACTCAGGGGTTGCACAGTTGCTCTCTATTTCCTTGATTCAGTTCCTTATTGATAATGTGGGAAGAACTCTAGTACCTTTATTATCAAACTTCTATATAGAACAAATTTTATAAAATATTCAAAGCATTTCGAACAATTGCCTGGTGCATGGTAAATGTACAACAAATTTTACCTACTTTATAATAGCTTGTTACCATTGTTCCCCAAATGAATGGAATTCTTATTTGTACTATTGCATAACTCTTGGCTATATTCTGTATATTATATCCACACTCAATACATTTCTATGTATTATCTTGTC